TCATTTAGTGTTAAAAATGTTACAATTAGTATATTTATATTTATGGCCAATTTTTTTATCATATATTTTTATTTTTAGTTTGTACCTATTTTTAATTTGCAAATATTTTTTAATTTGTACCAATTTTCTTTTCATCCATATATTATTTTCTTTTTGTGCCCAATTTTTTAAAGTTTTATTTGTGTTTGTACCCATGTGTATACCGTCACGTGACATTGTATATTTAATCAATAATAGAAAAATTACATATGGTATGTTTATGTTTTATGCCTAAACTTTGTATCATATATTTATATTTTTAGTTTGTACCCACTTTTAATTTGCAACATTTTTTTGTTATAATGTACCCATTCTTCTTTATTAATGTACCACTTTGTTATATGTGAAATGTACATGTTGATGCACAAAACCGGAGGTATTGGAACAACATAAATCCGACCGTGAATCTGTAAGAAAGTAAATAACACAAGATGTATCGTGGTTCACCCCAATGTTTAGGCTACGTCCACACTGATATTGTATTTCTCTGAGAGGATTGTGAGGGATAGAGCCTCTGTAATGTGAGTGAGGCTTTGAGAGGATGAAGGGGCTTGCTCTGAATATGAGAGCCCATCCCCATTGTGAAGGTGATGAGTCCATTTTATAGAATAAGGGCTCCTCACTTATTACATATTTGCCCATTCCTTTATTACATAATTACATTTAAGTTCCCCGAGTATTTATACGAGATCTAAATACGGAGGCCCTAAGTATGGTACAAACAGTAGTCCCTCAAGTCTTCAGTCAATAGAGTCTTTGGCTTGAGACTTGAAATTGAGTTCATGTGTGGGCCGAAGTAACTAGATGTCATTTTGAACTGATACTCGATATGAGGCGGTGCTCAAAGTGAAATGATGCTCAACTAGAAATAGCATATGTTGCGAAGCTGCTTAGTTTGTGGCTTATGTTGCCTTGGTTGGCTCGGCTTGTGGAGTTGAAGGTGAGGGAGTCCATTTTATAGAATAAGGGCTCATTCCTCAATACATGAATGATGGGCTAGAGTTGATGCTCGCGGCGAGGCGATTGCTCAGCTGGCGACGATACTCTCTAATGATGGTGAGGGAGTCCCTTTTATAAAATAAGGGCTCACTCCTCAATACATGAATGATGAGCTAGAGTTAATGCTCGCGGCGAGGCGATTGCTCAGCTGGCGACGATGCTCTCTAATGAAGGTGAGGGAGTCCTTTTTATAAAATAAGGGCTCGCTCCTCAGTACATGAATAATGGGTGCTCTCTAATGAAAGTGAGGGAGTCCCTTTTATAGAATAAGGGATCGCTCCTCAGTACATGAATAATGAGTGCTCTCTAATGAAAGTGAGGGAGTCCCTTTTATATAATAAGGGTTCGTTCCTCAGTACATAAATAATGGGCTAAGTCCCCCAAATATTTTTCATGACGCCCAGTTGAGGCCCAATATATGCTACATAATGTAGTCCCCCAAGTCTTCGGTCAATAGAGGTTGTTGGCTGGAGACTTCAAATTTAATCCATGTATGGGCCGAAATGGCGGTTGTTCAGAGGTGGTCTTTGTAGACCATGCACTGAAGCTTTATAGGTGAAGCTTTGCAAGTTGAAGCTTTTGAAGCTAGAGCTCTGTAAATGAAGTTTTCGAAGCTGGAGCTTTTGTAAATGAAGCTTTTGAAGCTAGAGCTCTGTAAATAAAGTTTTTGAAGCTGATTGACATGAGTGATGTTCATGAGTGTTTATGTTGATTGACATGAGTGATGCTCATAGATGTTGACATGAGTGATGCTCATGAATGATGGTCATGAATGTTTATGTATGATTGACATGAGTGATGCTCATGAAATGTTTATATATGATTGACATGAGTGATGCTCATGTATAATTTTAGAGTACTGGACGTACTTTTGATCACCTGGTTGGTGATAATAGCGGCAGGTTGCCGAATAATTTTGGAGTACTGGGCGTATTTTTGATCACCTAGTTTGTGGTATTTTGGGCTTATGGGTCTTCGCCCTCCACATAACATTCCAGCCCATTTATTTTGGGCTTTGCCGTTTTTTTTTTTTAGTACCCTCTGATGGGGTTAAACAGATGTCTCCGAAAAATAAGAAAAATAAATTACATCATTCTGGTGGGGTGTTTATTCCTTGCTTTTGCAGTGTCCCCATGTGCCTCCCTTTTGCTTTCTCTTTATTTTTCTTTCTTTTGGCAGATGACAGACAAGGGAATAATGCCATTTCCTTTTTTTGCTTTTGCTTTCGTTTTCTCTTTTCTTTTCTGCTTTTGTTTCTCCCACTTCATTTCTTTGCCCACCCATGTTACCCATCCCTGTCTGATGTGCAGACACGCTGAAAGATCAAAGGGAAATAGCAAATAATAACATTCATCACTGCAGCTATGAATCTTACTGTTCTTCAAGTACTGGGTATGATCCATCGCCGCCGTCTCCGAAGAGCCTCCACATTTTTCCGGAAAGTAGAGCAGATCTTGCTGTCAATGAGACAGCTCTTGATCTTGTTCCAGTTTTTGGTGCTGTTAACCCTTTTCTGGAGCCACTGCGACTAGTCCCCGAGCCTGTACTCCTTGTACCCTTTCCCGGAAAGTACTTTTCCGGCGCCTTTGTTGGTGACAGCGAAGGCGAAGATGGTGACTGCGAAGATGACCACGATGAGGAGGAACATGACGAGGAGGTTGACCCACAGTAGCCACGAGACTTAGCAGCAGACGCCAATTAGGTCGGCCAGCGACACCAACATGAGGAAATACGCCGAGGATGATGACGATGCTCGGCAGAGCTCAGCAAAGGTGTTGAAGAAGTTCCAGAAGGAGGTGTTGTCTTTGGGGCTTTGTTCTTGACAGCAACTTTTGTCTTGTCGCTGAGAATCCCACTGTAAACAATACCGTACCCTCCTTCCCCAATCACATTCTCCTCACGCAACTTATTCGTCGCCGCCTCCAGCTCCCTCAGAGTGTACCATCTCATTCCCCCATAGCTTCGGGGTCAAATTGGATCTCCCCGTTCGCCTGTACGAGCCGTGGAAACCCGACGATTCTGAGTTAGCATCGGAGTCGGCATAGCTTTAGTGACGGTTGTCAGTGCATGACCGTGAACAGGGCTTGCATTTTTTGTAAGCTCCTGGGGCCTTCAATGCTATATCCTTGATCTGGGCAGTGAGGGCCTTGATGACTTGCTTGGTCCTAGGAGTCCCGGCGACAGCGTCGTTGTCGTCGTCTTGGTGGTGGAGAGATCCATCGTTGAGCTGCTTGGAGCATGATGGTAAATGGGGTCTAGTGGGTACACTCACGGAGAGACAAAGAGATGATATCTATAAAGACCCAAATTTCTTGGTGTAGTATGTAGTGTTTCCAGAAACGTAAAGAGAGAAAGATGAGAACTTTCTACCGAGAGACAGAGAGAGTGGTGTTCTTGGTTTTTGTGATTTTTTTTTCTGGGAAAGTTTTGGGTTATTGGGTTTTTATTTACAGATTTTGCAGATTCACGGTGGAGGTGAAAAAATGAAAGATAACTGACACAACTTTTCGTATCGTTTCCCACAGACGGCGCCAAATGTTGATGCACAAAACCGGAGGTCTTGGAACAACGTAAATCCGACCGTGAATCTGCAAGAAAGTAAATAACACAAGATGTATCGTGGTTCACCCCAATGTTTGGGCTACGTCCACACTGATATTGTATTTCTCTGAGAGGATTGTGAGGGAGAGAGCCTTTATAATGTGAGTGAGGCTTGGAGAGGATGATGGGGCTTGCTCTTAATATGAGAGCCCCTCCCCATTGTGAGGGTGAGGAGTCCATTTTATAGAATAAGGGCTCCTCACTTATTACATAATTACATTTAAGTCCCCTGAGTATTTATACGATATCTAAATACGAATGCCCTAAATATGGTACAAACAATACCAATTTTTTTGTAAAATGTACCAATTTTTTTAACACTATGGATACATTCTTTTGCCATTTATTATTTCTTATTTTTACATAGTTTTTATCCATTTATTAAATCAAAATGTTTGAATTTTTTTATTATAACCGTTTCTAATAGTATTATAATGAGAGATTTTAAATTTATAGGATTATAAATCTCAATGTACTACGTTAGTAGCACTTCATAGTCATTTTATAATTTATTAAGAGAATTGTTATTAGCGCTTAATAAATCTTATATACTCTTCACAAGTATATTTTTCTTTTTAATTATAGAAAGCTTGGAATGCAAAACGAGATGTTTGGAGTGCCAATAACAATTATCTTTATCAAATGTATTTGCTAATAATTCTTACATTTTGTGGCACTCTAAGTTAGATTTATTACAAGAGATCTTATAATTAAATCTAGTAAACAACAGTGGTTGAATAGAACTAATTTGGACAAATGATTGTTGTTTCAAAGCTCATCTCAATCCAACAAATGTAAAGATTCGATTCAATTCAATTTTGGCTTGTAAGTAGGAGAAATTCTTGCACTAATTTACACCTTTTTGCCTATTTTTATATCTAATTCTCCTTCTTCTCCTTCTTCCCAAAAAAAAAAAAAAAAAAAAAAAAAAAAATCCAATTCTCGATTAAGTTGTTCAGCTTTATGGTTAATGTAGTGCAAATGTAAACGTGAATTCATATGAAAATCTCATGCTCATCATGTCATTAATTTAATGAATGATCAAACAATCAATCGAATCAAAAGTATTGAACCCAATTTAAATAAACTCATGGTGTAAAATAAGAAAATTAAAATTTCATGACTCATTCCTTAAATCTATCTAGTTACCATTCACAAAGTTAAGATAGCTAATCATTTAACTAGCCTGTTAAAACTTATTTTTTCTGCATTTTTTTTGTTAAAATGGCCGAAGACCCTCATTTAGCGAGGCTGTTAGAGATGCTCTTACCTGTTTATGAAAGTCGGGTTTACAAGGCCAAGCCCAACCCGAAATAAAAACGGGCCTGAAATATTGAAGGAGACATAGAAGCCCGAATTATTGGCCATTGGCATTAAAACTCAGGTCGGAGAAAAACCGTACACTCTTTCCTACCACGCTGTGGACGGTCCCCGTCGTCGAAACTCCATTCCAGTCTCAATCTCTCGCATATCACGGCTTGCTCTTCAAATCCTCCGTTGCTTGTTTTTCAACTTCTGGTAATTTCTTCAGATCACGCTTTCCATTCGATTCATTTGGCTCGAATTGTTTATTTCTTTGGATTTTTCCCTAATTTCTCAAATTTTCAATTGCTTTTCTGTCTGGTTAGTTCATTGATTCATTCCCTCGTGAATTTTCTTTCTGTCACTTGAATTTTAGGGCTTCATTGATCTTTATGTTGGTGCTTTACATCTGTGTTTCTTGTTTCTTTTATTTATTTATTTTTGGTTTTTTTTTTTTTTGGGGTTTTGAATTATAAATGTTTAACCAATGAGTATTTAGCTGTAATTGGGATTTGGGATTGATCTTCGTCTTACTTATAGCATATTCGTGTGCACATAATCCATTTAATTTATCATTAATTTTTCGTACATTTGTGTTTAGGAAGGAAAGCGGTGTAATGGGTTTGTGTTGTAATTTTTTTTTTTTTGTGTAGGATATTTAGTAGGCGAGACATGGATAAAGAGACCCCCAATATAAAGAAATGGATTGTGCTTTATCCGGTTTATATTAACTCGAAGAAAACTATGGCGGAAGGGAGACGAATCAGTGTCGCGAAAGCGTGCGAAGGTCCTACTTGTGCTGAGATTGCTGATTGTTGCAGCTACTTCAAACTCCCATTTGCAATTGAGGTTTGTTATTCCTACATTTGCACCCTCTGTGTCGTAAGGTTTGTGTAGAAATGGGTGTAAGTTGTGCTAATATATGCGGTGTGTTGGACTACTGTAGATAGATAAGGCTTATCCGCGCGATTTCATGCAAATTGGGAGAGTGAGGGTCTTGCTTAAAAGGGAAGATGGAACTCCATATAATCCAGACATTACTTCCAGTAAGTGTTGCTTTATTATGACTGTACTTACCCTTAATTCTGTAACCTTCTCAAAAGTATCTTAGTATTTGTTTTTGGTGAAACATCATAAATAATGTATCAGTTAATGCGAGATTTTAGGAGCGGATAGTTATAATTGTTTTCAACTAGCCCATTTGTCTTTCCTTGACTGCTTATAATCCATGGTGAGAGGGAATATTGTAGAGAGAATCTCAATTATTGAAATAAAACTTAACGTGGTAGCAAAGGTATCCGGTTAAAATAGTCTCTCTATACGAGCAAAAACTATTGTCATATTTGGCAGTGTCTCGCTGTTTTTCTCCTTTTCGACAAAATTTTCTAGAGTCCCACAAGTTTACTCTCACCTTATATCATAGTCTCCTAATCTGCGAGTAAAGCTATGAGCTGGGGTGGGTAATGGGGAATGAATAAGATATAGGGTATAGAGATCCTTGTTTGTAACAATGTGGGCATATCCACTTTTTGCTGTGCTCATCTTTGAACAGTGGATGTTTAACGTTGTCAACCTTTACAAAGATAGTTCAAGTCAGAATAACTTGGTTCTTGACTTTCATGTATTAATAGGGTCAAGTTTAGACAAATGGACTTTGTTTTTGAAGTTGTTTTAGTGAGCCCTTGCAAGGGATTCCTTGTCCGATTATGTCATTAACCCTACGAAGGGTGTCGCCGTGTTCTTCAACTCAACTGTTTGCGCTATTTAGTTATTAAACAGAAAACAAAGATTTGTCCTTGATTTTGGTGTGTCTTTTGATTTGTACATGTATATATTGATTATTCGGTTTTGTTTTGACTAAATTGCAGGGAAACAGCTGATGCTGAAAGTTGCGGAGATGGTTCCCAGACATCCTGGGAGGACTAGGAAGCAGGAGCCCGCCACATCCACATCAAGTGCTGGACCTGCCAAATCTGGGAAACATGGAAAGAAAAAGAGATAGCTCCGCTCCAGTCTCACAAATCACTCACTCTCAGCTTAGACATTTCATGTTGTATACCC